AGTTAGTGTCTTGGAAACCCACAGGGACAGTTCCACCTTGTCCCATGGGGCCATCAGTCAGACTCGACTTGATGGCAGTGAGTTTGGTTTTTTGGGTGATGCCAGCAGGAGTCTTGAGTGGCGCAGAGCTGTGAGCTGGCAGTGACCTAAGCAGAGGGACACAGGGAAAAGGCCTGCACAGCTCTACCCTAATCTACACAGGGCCACTATGATCAGTACCAGCCCGGGGAAACGCAGGGTTGTGTTCGGGGCTGGCTGCTTGGTTGTTGGAACTGTGACTATTCGATTACTCACAACTCAGTCGTGTTATTGGCTATTTTATTTTTAGCTCTTGGAAAAACTGCCTGCAGACACACACACCACACCAGCAACACCAGATAACTGGTATCTTCACGTGAGATTATTAACCTCGTGGGTTTTCCAAAGGAACCGCTGGAGCTTCCAGGCAACCCGAGATTTCAGTAACGTCTCACTCCGTGACCCACAAAGACCCGACTATGTGGCAGCAGAACTGATGTCCAAGTGCCACTGGTGCCCTGAGCCATCCCCACCAGCCCTCGCATTCTCACAGCCCCACAGAAAAGCCCATGGGCTTCTGTCCAAACCCTGCTCTCTTCCGGGGCCCAAACTCCCTCCCCCTTGCAGGGCGGCCCCCAAAGCAGTTTGCTGGTTTTGAACAAGGAAACCTGGCGGTGCAGTTGATTATGCACTCAGCTGGTCACGCAGGAGCAGGTCACTCAGATGGACAGCTGCAGGACACCCTAAGTTGTTCTACTGTCCTGCAGGGTTGCTACGGGCCAGCACCAACCAGAGACAGGGCCAGCCCCCTTACAGAGTGAACTGGGGTCAAAGGGCCCAAGCTCTATTCACGGAGGACCAAATGGCCCTGCCCTCTTTGGTATGGGGACTAGCGCCCCAGCCTGAGGATGCCCGGAGCTCCGGGTATGCAGAATGACAGGTCCCAGGTCTGCGTGGTGGTTACAAAACCTCACACGCAACATTGCTCAAACAAAAGGTGGGGCAGGGGATCCCAGAAAAGTCCAATGGGGCCACCCTCCTGC